CACGTAATCACCCAGGGGTCAGCCTGCGAAGTGTTTCAAGCTCTCTGCAGCTAGAGACACAGACCCCCAAGGGCCTTATCCTTATCCTTATCCTCCTCCTCCTCCTCCTCCTCCTCCTCCTCCTCCTCCTCCTCCCTCGTCCTCCTCCTCCTCCTTCCTCCTTCCTTCTTCCTCCTTCCTCCTTCCTCCTTCCTCCCTCCTCCCTCCTTCCGCCTTCCTCCTTCCTCCTCCTCCTCCTCCTCCTCCTCCTCCTCCTCCTCCTCCTCCTCCTCCTCCTCCTCCTCCTCCTCCTCCATCCTCCCACCTCTTCTTGGTGCACCGATTCTTCCCGCCAGGGTCCCCAGCTTCCGAGCAGCCAGACCGGCTCCCGCCAGGAAAGCACCCCTGGACGTGCCCGGCGCCCCCTCAGCACGTTGGCCAGCAGTTTCGGATGCCCGCACGGCGGCGCTCCGCGGGATCCCCCGGGCGCGGGGAGCTGATCCGCAGGTCGCCATGCTCGCCTGGGCTCCTCCCATCCCCCGAGATGCTGGCGTCTCAGTGTTTTCGAGCTGGGCGTTTTGTCGCTCGGTTTCGGGCCCTGGGACCCGCACAGATCGATCCGGCTCGAAAGAGTGCGCAGAAAGATGGTGTCGGGGGCTCTGGCCGTGATTTCTCGCGATGCTGCAAAGGCCTCGCCACGCCAGATCTCAGGGCTCTCCCTCGGCCAGTCGTGCAATACCTTGGCATCGCTCGGACGTGTGCATTTTTCCTCGGCCAGGACCATCGAGGAGCATATGGAAGTAAGTCGGGCATGCCCCTCTAGGGAGGAATGTTAAACTAGTAAAGAAATAGTATGGTGACGATATCATATTATGTTTGAAGACCTTTTTGAATATTTGGCTACTATGTTTTATTTGTTGTCAAAAATCTGCCTCTAGGAGGGCATGCCCGACCTAACTACGGGATCATCTCGCTAAAAAAATACACGCGCGAAACCGAAAAACGCACAGGGAATTGACGTCCGATCGCTGGCGGGTCGTGCAAAATACTTCGCCTGCAGCGCACGGGGGGGGCACCAGGGCGTCACCGAGCGAGCACCAGGAAGCGCCAGCCAGCGCGCGGGGCGGACACGAGCGAGCACCGTGGGCGAAAACCCGAGATGCCAGCATCCTCCTCCTCCTCCTCCTCCTCCTCCTCCTCTTTCTCCTCCTCTCCTCCTCCTCCTCCTCCTCCTCCTCCTCCTTCTCCTCCTCCTCCTCCTCCTCCTCCTCCTCCTTCTCCTCTACTCCTCCTCCTCCTCCCTCCTCCTCCTCCTCCTCCTCACTTCCTCCTCCTCCTCCTCCTCCTCCTCCTCCTCCTCCTCCTCCTCCCCTCTCCTCTTGCTCTCTCCTCCTCCTCCTCCTCCTCCTCCGCTCTTCTCCTCCTCCTCCTCTCCTCCCCTCCTCCTCCTTCCTTCCTCCTCCTTCTCCTCCTCCTCCTCCTCCTTCTCCTCCTTGTGGTGAAGGAGGTACCCAGACCAGGTGGGAAGGAGATCCTGATAGGGTCGATACGGCGGTCTCGGGTCATATATTCATGGACGGCAGCTGTCAGCGACACATCATTAAAGAGTTATCCAGAGCAAGCTGGGGTTTTACAGCCCACGCAGACGACGGCTCTAAATTGTTTAGTGCGTTTGGGCCTATGTGGGCCCCCCTCCCCCAGACCAGCCAGGCTGGGGAGTACGGGGCCCTCGAAGGTTCCTCCCAGTGCCTTGTTGGCCCCTCTACTGGCTACTCCGACTGTCTCAACGTTGTTCGTGCCCACGGTGAGCCCCCCGCCATTAAGCTGTCCCATAAGAGGCCTTATGCGGGGCTCATGTTTTCTAGCTTTTCTTCGTGGTGGACGGGAACCCTCCACAAAGTCAAAGCCCATGTTGTGGACTCGGATGACCTGTCCGACAGGGACCGATTTTTTTAAATTGGTAATGATGCTGCTGATGAGGCTGCCAAGGCTGGCCTCGCCACGCATCCTAGGCCCACGGACGCCCAATTGACCGACCTTGCGCACAAAATCAGCGTTGCGAAGGCTGTTTGCCGCCTGGCCGCTCGGATTTTGCCACTGTGGCCTCGGCTCGACCTCAGCGGGGTTGTGCTGGCCAGGCCCCCTAAGGAAATCAAAGTGAAACCTGGCACGGAGTTTGAGCATGTGTGGGAGTGGTGCCGCTCTTATTGGCGTTGTGGAGTTTGCTTGCGCACTAAGCATCCCACTCCGTTAATTTTCGGTAGCTCAGGCAAGCCTGCATGTGAGGGTTGTTCTGGCGTTATTCCCGACACTTTGTGGCGTGTCTCGGCTCTCGGACACAGGCTTCTATCCTTCCAGTGTAGCGACGACTCGCCGTTGTTCGTTTGTGTCAGTTGCAAGGCTGTCTCGACCCTGGGTCCTCTAGCTCTCCTGGGTAAGAAGTGCGGGCGCCCTACCAGGAACAATGCTGAGAGATGGAAGTACAGAATATGTAAGGGTCGGCACCCACGACTTCCTGGTGTGACTGTCGAAATCTCACCAGAAGTTGTGAATGCACACCCTGGCTCGCAGGAAGAAATTGTCGTTGAGTCGTCGTCCGTGCAACCTGCGAGCCAGGAGCTGCAGCAGATTAACAATGTCGTTGAGTCTTCGTCTGTCGATACGGCTGCTGCAGCAATCTCAGTCAGTGGCCCAAGTGGCCCGAGCAGCTTCGCCCGCACCAGTCTTTTGCAGGATGGCACCGTTTTGCCGTTCACGGGAGATGGGCAGCAGCGAGAGGAGGTCGTTGACCAGTCGTCTGTCGTGCAGGTCGTGGTTGCTGCTGCCACTCCCCAGTTGTCCCACTCGACCCCTGCAGTCCAGGGGTCGAGGATCCGCCCTGCGTCTGTTTCTTGTGGTGAAGTTCGGCCCTACAAGACGGCTCGACACACCGCCAATTGTGCCGAGTCAGTGCAGCAGGCTGGTTTCTCTCTTCCCTCGGCTCCCTCCAACGAGAGAGGGGCTAGGGGTCACGTGCTGAGCTGTGAGGATGGTGCGGAGGGTCCTCACGCTCTCACTGAGAGCGACCAAGGTTTGTTTCAACGCCCGTCCCCAACTTTTGATTCGGATGGTATCGAAATCCACGGTCTCAGAGCGCCTTCCCTTGAAGGGTCGTACCGATGTAGTGTTTTGTCCCACTCGACCCCTGCAGACCAGGGGTCGAGGATCCGCCCCGCCTCCGATTTTGGCGCCGAGTCTCGGCCCAACAAGTTTGCTCGTCACACCGCCAATCGTGACGAGTCAGTGCAGCAGGCAGTGAATTCTTTTCCCTCGGCTCCCTCCAACGAGAGTGGGGCGAGGGGCCGCGAGACGAGCTGTGAGGATGGTGCGGAGGGTCCTCGCTCGAAAGCTGCTCGCGTGAACTATGAGCCCAGATGTGGCTCGAACTAGCTCTTTTTGTCGGGGCCCATGGGTTGCTGCCGAAGTCAGCCACCGCATGAGGTCACCGCTTGGGTCCTAGCCTGAGACCAGGCTAGGAAAAGGTCCAGGTGAAAAAAAAATCCTCCTTCTCCTCCTCCTCCTCCTCCTCCTCCTCCTCCTCCTCCTCCTCCTCCTCCTCCTCCTCCTCCTCTTCGTCCTCCTCCTCGAGATGCCAGCCCGGAGAGGGGCCACAGAGGGAGGAGCCGGAAGCGCCAGCCAGCGGACCGGTCGGGAGCCTCGAGAGGGGGGTCCATGCAAGCGGAGGTCGGCCAGAGCGCCCGAGCTTGCAGGGTCCTGCAGGGCCGGGGGCGCACTGACCTGGGCTGGGGTGCAGGAGCCTGCATTATGTTGCAGGATCTTGCAAGGCCCGACTGGCCGGGGTTTGGATTGGCCCGGGTCAGTGGATCCCCGACAGGTTGGGCGTGGCTTGCGTGGGAGGCCAAAAAATGAGGGGGGGGGGGGGGAGAGCGAGGAAGCCAGCACACTTCGTGCCCCCTTTTGGGCCCCAGGGGGTGGGGGGTCCTTGAGGGCCCCTGTAGAGCACAGGTGAACATGTCCTCACCCCCTGAATTATTAGAGGCCCCCCTTACTTGTTAGAGGCCTCCTGGATGGGGTCCGAGTAGATGGGGTCGGAGGATCGTGCCGCATCGCCAACGCACCGGCGATACATCGCCGATACATCAGCGATTCATCGGCGACGTCGGCGATGCATCGGAGACGCTGGCGTGGAGAAAATCGGGCGCCGCATCGAACCGCATCGCCGCTGCATCGGCGATACGGCGCGATCCTCCGACCCCATCCGCTCGGACCCCATCTGGGAGGCCTAGAGCTGTCCCCCCCCCAGCATGCAGCGCCCGAACGGGGCGGGCACCAGGCGGGGACACTGGGCGAAGACTTCTGATGTTTCAACTTACTTGAGCCTTGATCACCAGAAAAAAAATCGAGCACCAGAAAAGGCTCCGAAACTCGAGGGTTTTCACGTGTCGGGCCCTGGGAGACACTCAGCCGACACTGTTTCGACACTCTTTCAACACTCTTCCGGGTGCTCGCCATTATTTCTGGGGTGTGGCCCTTAAGTACGGACGGGAGCAGCATAAGCGAAGACCTGGAAGAGCACCACGGCCTGCTGCCAGCGCGTGGGGCGCGCAGGCGCCTCGGGCGCGGCCAGGCGTCGGGGGAGACTGCCACGCCCACTTGCGCGGGCAGGCGAGAGCCCGTCGGCGCCCCAGCGCTGGTCGGCCGATGGGGAGGCAGCGGTGGCAGACAAGACCAAGGCAGCGGTGCCCCCCCTCGTCCTCCTCCCTCCTCCTCCTCCTCCCTCCTCCTCCTCCTCCTCCTCCCTCCTCCTCCCTCTTCCTCCTCCCCCTCCTCCTCCTCCTCTCCTCCTCCTCCTCCCTCTTCCTCCTCCTCATACCTCATGCCTCATCTCGCCTCCTCACCTCCTCATCCTCCCAGGCCTCCTCATCCTCCTCCTCCTCCTCCTATCCCGCCCCCCCTCCCCCGACAGCACCCTTGAAACTCCCGCGTCCCCCCCTCCTCCGAGACGGCATGGCCGCGGGCAGGCTCTTGGACCACGGCCAGTGGGAGGAGGTGGCGCCGTGCGACTTCGACGGCGAGCAGGTGGCGCTGCTCGACCGGAGCAACGCGATCCAGCAAGGCCTCATTCCACCTCCTGGGAGCCTCTTCTTCGCCCCTCCTCCCCTTCCCCTCCCTCGTCCTCCTCCCCCTCCTCCTCCCCCTCCTCCTCCTCCCTCTGTTCGTCCCCGTCGGACGGCGTTGCGAAGCCTGACTCCTGCACACCCCTCCTCCCTCCTCCCCTTCCCCTCCTCCTCCCTCCTCCCCCTCCTTCCTATTCCTCCTCCCCCTCCTCCTCCTCCTCGTCCCTCATCCTCCCCTCTCGCCCTTCCCCGCCCGCCTCACGCCTCAGCCGCCTGGAAGGCAATCCGCAAGAGCAGAGCTTAGGGGCGCAGCCCGCGGAAGAAGACCCTGCTGCCGCCCGGGGCGCCAATGTCCAGGCCCTCACAGGGCTCGCGGAGGCGCCCCGGGCGGCCCAGCACGATCCCTGGGCGCCCCACGATGGCGCCCTGGCGGCCCCAAGAGGTTCCAAGACGGCCCTGCGCAGGGACTGCCCAGAGGCGAAGCCAGTCAGGACCCGTCCGGTGTTCGTGCCTTGTCGGAATTCGCCTCTCCCCAGCTCGATGCGGCTTCTCTCAAGGGCCCCGACTGGGCTGCTCTGCGGAACAGCGAGGCGCGGTGTACAGTGTCCAGCGTCAGGGCGAGGGGATCGCACACCAGTTCGCCGCTTACGGTATCGTGCGGTGCGGCACAAGTTCGATCGTGTGTCTCATCGTTCCCTCGTTACCCACCCACCCAAAAGCTTGGATTCGAACCCTTCTCCACCGACCGTCAGGAGCGCGCACCGCAGGCACCTGGAGAGGAGGCTCCTCAGTCTCCTCCGCACCCTTGTTGTCCGTCGCACGACAAGCAGAAGGCATAAGTGAGAATGTCAAGAATGGGGAGCGGTTCTTGCAGGAGCTGTGCCCGTCGTATCAGGTTCGGGGGTCGTGCCGCACCCCTAGCGCCGAGACTAAGTCCGAACGTACAGATTGTGGGCACTAGTATTGTCATGGATGGCGCGGGAGTGAGAGGTGCGGCGACAGCAGAGGTGTCCCTCGCCAGGCGGGAATTCCACGGTCCGGATTCGAGTGATGCATTTGGAGACGAATCAGCTGACCGAGGTCGACAAGCTTCATGGGGCGCCGCTCCTGCTTCATCTTTTCTGGGAGGATATTGTGACATGCTGATGTGTAGGCGCTGGCGCCTTCCAGACAGTAGGCCCACAACTCACTACATGTTGATGGGTACTGAGCGAGTGCACGTGACATGTTGACGCATGCATTGACGCCAAGATTGATGTGTTTACATGCGTTAGGGAACGACGGCTTGGATGCAGATTACCTGTATGTCGAGAAAGGCATGGTTAAGCGCGTGTAATAAGAGCGAGTGCATGTACGTGTGTATGTGTGCGTGTAGTGTGTGTGTTGTGTATAGCGCAGTGTATCACAAAGCATTGTAGTGGATTGTAATGCGGTTCAGTGCATGTTCACGTGTCTGTGCGAATGCGTGTAAGTGTGCATGTTCAGGCGTTTGTGCCTGGCATGTGGTTGCATGTGTGTACGTTTATATGTGCAAGTGCGTGCGTGCGCATGGATTCGTCTCTGCATATGCGTACGAGTGTGCGTGTATGTATGTAGGCGTGTACGAGTAGGCGTTTCTCTATGTGTGTACGGACGTTCGCGTAAATGCGCATATTCAAGTGGTGTCAATCGTCCAGTGATTTACTCTCGCTACGAACGATCTATGGCGCAGGCGTGCGTATGACTGTGTATGTGCGCGTACGCATGTGTATACGTACGCGTGTGAAGGCTGCGGAGTACCATACAGCACATTGAGTGTAGACTCGTATACATGCGCACAGTTGCGCATGAATGCGTACGCATGTGCATGTGCGTACGCATGTGCATGTTTATATTCCCCCAAGCAGTGCTTACACTTGGGAGTTCTCGCTTCGCTCCCAAGGAGCTGGGACCTTTCGCGGCCGCGGCGGCCCCACTCCCGTCCGTTGCCACACCCACCACCGAACAAGAGGCCCGTTTGCGGGCTGGGCGGCTCCGTCCCCGCCCAATGGCTGTGCATGGCTGTGCATTGCGTCGCATTGCGCTGCATCGTTATGCATCAGTTTGCATGGCTTTGCATGGATGTGTATTGCGTTGCGTTGCTTTGCATTGGTGTGCTTTGATATGCACTGCTTTCCATTGCTTTGCATTGCGTTGCATTGCGTTGCCGTGCACTGCTTTGCATTGCGCCGCAGTGTTTTGCATTGTGTTGCATTGCGGTTGCACCACATGGATTGCACCACCTAGATTGCACAACAGTGATTACGCCACCTAGGTTGCACCGCACGCGTTGCAAGCAATCACTGCTTCGGGCCCACGCCGGCTAACAGATCGAAGACGCCTGCGGCGAATCATAGCCGCCCCCTGCCTTTTTGGACGCGCATATGTGGCCAAACGTTTGGGCAAGGTTTGGCCACGCTATTTGACCATGCGTTCCCCCAGCCGTTGTGGAAGCCCTTCAGGGAACACGTGGAGGAGGAAGAGGAGGAGGACAGGAAGGAGGAAAAAGGAGGATGAGGAGAAGGATGAGGAAGCCTCTTGGGAGCGTCTTGGGTCATTATTGCGGCCTCCTGGGAGCTTCCTGGGGGCCTCTTGAAGGCCTCTCGGGGGCGTCCTTCAGGGCCTTTGGGGGGTTGCTTCTTGGGAGCTTATGTGGTCGTCTTACGGTGATCCTGGCCCGTCTGACGCCATCGGAAGCCGTCTTGGGAGCCTCGGGGCTGGAAGCAGCATTAGCAGCAGTCGAAGGGACAGTGAACAGCGCGCACCGTCGCTTGGACGTGCGAAGTAGGCTTGCTATTAGATATGATATGTGGTTTGCCTTCCCCCGCCGGGCTTCTCCATCTTGTTTGTTGACTCCGATCGCACTGCCACGGCTGCAGGCTTCACAGATGTCGATCTTGAAGCTGTGGAACTCGAATTGCATTGCGTACGCGGTGGAGAGCATTGCTTCACAACGTTTTGATTGTGCCGCTTCGTCAAATTGGCTGATGCGTGGTTGCAGGCAACAGGGCATAATTATGATAGCGTGTTAGTTGCGGGAGCGATGCAAGGACCAGGTGCACGACGAGACTCCTGCGGATTCGCGAAAGAAGAGGCATGCACGAGCAAAGCGGCAGCGGCTGCGCAGCCCTTTTGAGATTCCAAAGCGCCTTTTGTGACGCCGGCTCCCCCTCCGCGCCCCGGCCGTGGCCCTCGAGGTTGCGATGGCGGCCCGGCGTGAAGCACTGATCCAGGAGCCATCGTATCTTCCTCCTCCTCCTCCTCCTCCTCCTCCTCCTCCTCCTCCTCCTCCTCCTCCTCCTCCTCTTCCTCCCCCTCTTCCTCCCCCTCCTCCCCCTCCCCCTCCTCCTCCTCCTCCTCCCCCTCCTCCTGCCTTTCGGGCGCCCTCTGTCCGCCCAGCCTCGGCACCCAGCAGAGGCCAACCCCCCTCTGGATCTGGAGGTCGTCGAGGACAGATTGTTGGCCTGCGCCGTTGACACGTCATCTTCACTGCACACGCGTCCGCTGTCACACGCGTCCGCTGTCGCGGATAGCTTGGCCTGCGTCGCCTTCACTTCACGCGCGTCCGTTGTCGCGTCGCGCGCTGAACCACACGTCACTTCACACTGCGTCGCAGCGTGAATCGCTTCTTGCACAGCCACATGTTTCTTGGGTCCTTGCAGGTAAGTGTTGATTACCAGATCGCATGGCACTCCTCGTGATGGCGCCGACGATGGGCATCGCAACACCCCGCCAGGCAACCGCACGACACCACGACACCAACATCTGGCACTGCGATGGATCGCCAACATGAAGACCCAGCGTGTCCCGCGCACTGGGGCACTATAATTACGACATGCGTATATGACGCTTCTGACCGTGGGTCGACCTGTGTGCCCACATATGTTCCACAGTTGACAATCGTTTGCTGCGCACGCGTATCGGAATGGTGTCACGCATGTCGCACTCGTTCCTCAAGTGTTCCTCGGGTCGGTGGCGCTTGGTTCAAATGTGTGCCAGGTCAGGTCTCGTGCCACGTCACGATGAAGCGGTGGGACATGAATCAAAAACGAGGCACGGTTAGCTCGACGCCTTAGGATTGGCCGAAGAGCTACAGATTTCAGAGGCAACCAAGAGCCCTATAAAGCCGCGGCAAAGCGCTGCGGCTGCTCGTGGTTCGGGGGGAATGGGCTTTCGATTCGGTCGCTCGTTGCCCTGTGCTGGGCCATTGCGCGCGTCACCGTGCAGGATGCCCATGAGCGGTGGGGAGGAGGACGGGAGGAGGAATGAAGGATCGGGATGGGGGAGAACGAGAAGGAGAAACTTGACGGCCCGAGGCGCATCACGCCAGCTTGGTAGGTTTGAGTGCCGTTCCAGATCTTGATTCCCAGGGGCACCTGGAGGCCACCGGAAACGCGCCACAACGCGCCTGGATGAAGCCTCGAACGGCAACGAGGATGACGCCGACGACGACGCCGACGCCGACGCCGACGACGACGACGACGACGACGCCGACGCCGACGCCGATGGCGACGACCACGACGACGACGACGACATGACGGCGGGACGCTGCGCCCTGCGAGGGCCACCTCGGGTCGCCCCGCACGGCCGGCAGGGGCTGGGCGCCTTGCGAGCGGGCGCCGAAGGGCGCCCTGAGAGCACGGGTCGCCCCACGCCGTACGAAGGATTGCAAAGGTTTTTTTTTTTTGTTTTTTTTTTTTGCAATCCTTCGTTCAAGGATTGAAGGTGTTTTTTTGCAATCCTTCGTTCAGAGAACGGAAGCAGGGGTGCCGGCCCCCAGGCAGGGCGCGGCGCTCTGGCCGGCACGGCGTGGTGCCGAGAGGGCCTCGGAGGTCCTCCAGACGCCTCCAGGGGTCTCTGGAGACGTCCTGAGGCCTGCAGGGAAG